ATTGTCTTGCATCATTAAGTATTCCCATTATTGCTAATACGTCGTCATTTACCCATTTTAAAACACACATCGAGAGAGTCTGATCACAATATGTTGATGTGACGGGTCTGTAACCTTACAGCTACTTGTTTGGGTTGCCAGTTGGTCTCTTGATAACATCATATTCACTGTTGTAGAATAATGTTGGGTGCATGGAAATTGCTGCCAACAATCTGGGGCATTCCAGTAACCTCGCATTGCACGCGTGGTTACCATATGTTAGTCTTAGAATGACCGAGATATTGTGTTGAGGAGACGTTAAATCTCATTCCATTCTCTGCCTTTAACGTGTGTCGACGTTTTATATCTATATATACATGTATTGTGATACCCTACTCTAACAGGCTTGTCACGTGACGATGATTGGTAATTATGCCCTTTTATACATGCTAAATTAGCCTGGTCAAGCATAGGACGGTCAATTACATAAGCACTGATTTTCTAAAGAGATATTTATTCTGCTCTAGTCCGTCCATTATATTTTTACATATTATATTTCAATGGCCAACCATGAATTATGAGTTCATTCCCCCAATTGATGTAATCAGAACCTTTCTTCATCTGTGACCCCGGTCTGTAATTGTGTACCCTCATCAATAATATATCTCATATAAAGCATGATACGACCAAACATAAGTACTTAATTGGAAATTAGATAATGTAATCCACCCTGAAAGTAAGTTCTTCATACATTATTCAGTTATTGCCTATTGTAATGTTATTCTCGTGTTATAAAGGTTACGTTGGGCAGATGGTTCCGTTTGGTGCGGCCACAAAACCACAAGGACCACTGACAGACTAGTTAACGTCTACTTCGAAAGTAATGATATTGCAAACAATCAGTAGGAGAGATCATTTGCTCCCGTTGTTATATGTTCGTTGATCTTTGCATTTATGGCTTGATGCTATTGATTGCAAACATAATCGGCTTAGCTAACCTTGTTGCCCTTGTAGGTAGGTTATCAAGAGAATGTATGACCAATTTGTAAACGGAGTTACATGATCACTGCAACATTTTCGTTATTTGAGGTTACATGTTTTCTAACGAATTATCAAATTAGTGCGATATGTGTGTCCTTATACTTTAATAATTTTGAGTGCACGTAAAAGAACCCTTGACAGTTGGAATTTGATCAAGAGTAAGCGGAAACGCTGCTGTCTGGGAAAGCATCGCCCATACCGCACTGGGTTATGTATGCCTGTCTTCTCTAATCGGATTGATGCAGAAAAGTAGGATGCTAGACATCATTTCGTTCCAATAATTGTACAAGGACAACACCTAGGACTAACAAAAATGAGTATCCAGTTAAATTCTGGTATCAAGCATGGCCCAAATCAATTAAATCATTATTGTATGCGAAGATATCTACATGACGCGACTTGTGAGAACTGTGTTGATGGCCATATATAAGATATATTATTATTTTATATCACTGATGAGATGAAGACCACTATATTTTCTGCCACCATGTTGTTAAAATAGCCATTCTAATTTACGATAATTATTGTAATGAAAAACTACTTAATTAGCATATTAATCAAGCTTGGTGAGCATCTGTTGTAATGAAAAACCTAATAATATTGTTATCTCACTTCAGTTCCTGCTACATGACACCTAATTACACTCACCTTCATGTTATTAAGTCTAATTAGAGCTTTGATCAAATTGCAAGGAGGACGTTAAACCCCATTACATATCGACCCAACTAAAGCTATTTTCTTTCCGCATAATGATTGTAATATTATTATCTGTGTGAAAGTGTCTCCCATTGTTGTGCTTCTTCTGTATTACTGTTTTGATGGTGTTTGGATGTTCGGGAGTCACAGTGGCTCAGTAAGTAAGACGTTGGCTCACTAAACCGGAGGTACAGTGTTCATCAGGATTTTCCGGAGTGGTTCTTCCTTGTCAGTGATGCAGGATAGAGTGCTTGGCACGTGACAGCTTTTAGGTCCCATGTAAACATTAGCATGCACGTAAAATATCCCTTGGCACACTGTATAGCGTTTTTCCGTCGTCATTATCCCAGCCGGAGCAGAACAGTAGGACGTTAAACCCAATTTCATTTCAATTTCATTTGGCTTGGTTGTCCGGCTAACTTATTGTGTTCCATCATGGTCAAATGAAATGAAATGGGGTTCAACGTTTTACTTTCCTGGACCAACCAGGCTAATGCGCCATGCAGTGTATTTTTTGGCCGTGTAAATTTTGCCTTGACAATTTTTTACTACATGTATTATTATTTCAATTTTGATCTGTCGGAGAATCTTTAGAGTGCACCTCGACGAGCCACCCGTCGGTCAACATCGAGATCGAACCCTAGATCTCCTGGTAATTGAGGCAGCGCCGGACTAACCGAACTATGTGACGAATCAACCAACCGCCTGCATAGCTAACTAGTATAGTTTTGTGCAGTCTATCGGATCAGAAGAAAACCCATGCTCTATCTGTGTACACATATTGGCTACAGTTAGAACTCGGACGCGTGGATCGGACGCGTTAACGTAGACAAAACCTTAGTCCACAATGGCTCAAGTATTGTGTTGATGAGATATTCACCGCCATTCCTTTCCGTTCCTTAATATATCAGTATTGATACTAATTAACTACACTATAATCACCATATATATTTCAACAATAGTTACTAATTAACAATACCAGAATGATGTAGAAACGTATCAGTGACACTAACTTATTGTTGAATACTAGTAATGTTAAAGATGTTTTGCTTGCAGTAATCAGGGTTAGTAAATCCAAACGAATGCAAAGATGTTTCACGTCTTACTTCTCTACACCAACTGGACATCGGCGTTTTTGCTTATTCTCTTTAGAATTCCAACGGAACATCGTATTTTATCTTTCCGCCCTGAACTACTAACAAGGGAAATCCAATTTTACAATCCCAGGGAACCTGTCCAAATCTGGCGTCACAGTGATAGAATATTTTATCTCAGTTGAATAGTTTCAATGTGACTAGAAACTGAATAACAAAACGAATTCAGATTTAGTTGGATACGCTACAGTCAGATGTCCCTAGGATTTAGGGGGGTTGGATGGCTGAATGGTTAGCGTGCGCGCGCTGGATCATAAAGTCTGTCATTGAGTAGGGTCGCCTGTCCAACCTCGTGGGTTTTCTCCGGGTCCTCCGGTTTCCTCCCACTGCTAAAGACCCCTACGCGCAAGCGAATTATGTAAATAAAATTAAACCATATGTTAGTCCCGAAATGACCTAGTTTGTGTCGAGTGGACGTTAAACCCCATTTCTCTCTCTCTCTCCCCCTAGGATTTAGCAAGATTTAAGCCAGGGACACACAAGTCGTAGCTTTGTACACTACTAGAAGAGCCTGCGTGATTTTTCAAACCTTGTCAAGTGTAATGCCAGCGAGACTGACAGTTTGGAGGGTGGGTGTAGCTAAAGAGGCAACTTACCATCAAAAGCTGATTAAACAAAGAATATTCAAATGCATAGCTGTTTATTAATTACGGAGGCGTCTCGTCTCGACTTCCAGTGACCGTAACAATTAAACATACATTATGCAAGAGCTAAATCTGATTATTGCAAGTCATAGAAATTATAAATTAGATCTTTATTTACACAACAAGCACAAAATCAACTCTGTAGACCCACGGATGGCTTGGGTTCGGCTTGGATTTAAACAGGATTTCGTTGATTGATGAAATTTTTAAATGGCGTCGTAAGCCGAGATTAACCATTACGTTGAGGTCATACTCCCGGAAATAATGATAGATAGGCTAAATGATAGATTGTACGAAGCGAGGCCGCTGTTGAGCGAGGCCGCATGTCAGTCAATTTGATTGAAAGTTCGATATAAATGTATACGGCCTTGATATTATGTTTAGTTGTGGTTAAATTGAGAGTTTGGATGTCGGTATTATAGGCTATGCTCTTTTGTCATTTGCGTTTACAGAAAAATTATAGAAATTGATAAACATTGCAGCTAACATCACTCCTGTTGAATTGCAGCTCCATTGGATCACTGTTCGGGAGTTACGCAGGCCCACCAGTTACAGTACAAGAGTACACGCAGGCTAACAAGAAGTCGGCTATAATTATGCCTCATTGATTTGGTCCATTCCTTTCAAACTTTCGCTTTTTATCTATATATTAAAAGTCTTATTTTTAATATGTAGTAAAAAAAAATGTGATACGAATTGAATTGCAACCCCGTCTCAAACCACAGCCATTGAAAACGTTACTTGATAATCGAGATTATGTAGGTGGGGTTAACGCCTGTCAATCAAACGATCTTCCATTCTCGGAGACGGTGAAGAGACAGTTGACTCCCATTTCTAGTCAAAAATTAGAATAGTGATAACTTTGTTCAGAATAAAGTAATTTGACTGAAATTTTCAATATATTCTTCTTTCATCATCTATTTTTGAACTGTTATAGCAAGAATGGCCAACTCTCTACTAAAATCTCCCATAATGTATCTTTAAGTAAGTTCCACTGTGGAACAGTTGGATCGCACCTATCATTGAACTTAGCTACTATTATACAAAAATTATGGGAAAACTGAAATATAATGGAATGGTGTTTAGTTTAATGCCCCATCAACACAATATTTCGGTCATTTTGAGACAACCGTATGGTATTATTTCTATGGTTATGATTGCATTGCGAGGTAGGAGGATTTGGACCGGACAGCGCTTTTTCTTTCAACTCTTCTTCGTATTCTAACTGTCAAGGTTCCTTTACGTGCACATAATTGGTCCCGTCCGAACGACTAGACATACGTCCATTGTCGGCTTAGCCGTAGCCCTCTTAACGACGAAGACCCAGATTGCAAAAGCCCGAATGTTCTTGTCTGCAACAACTGCCATTTCTAACGTCCTGATATCACTTCCTTTTATTTACGAAATTCAAACTATCTTCAATTCATGTAGTACTCAACTAGGATAGAACACACAATTTTAGTATTATTTTAAAAGATTTATTTTGATTTCGTTTGTAAAAAAAGATAACAATAACAAATTCTTATAATACAACAACATACAAACATAATAAATCAACAAGAATTGTAAGTTAATGCTGGAATAATATTAATTAGGCTAGGAAAAGATTGGCTGACATGGTATCTAGGTAATGTTTATTTTGGCAAGAGATGGGGAGGAGCTTAAACTGTGAAAATATCAGTCTTTCGTCTTTCATTCTTTTCGTTTCATTCCATTCTTTGATTACTGAAAAATATAAGTAATGTTGAGTTAGAATTTGTTTAAATATCGTCAGATTAAAAAAAAATCATCATATATGTAATCTTTTAAAATATTTCTAAAAGAAACGGGCTAATTGTAAACCTCGAATTTCTAATCATCAAATGCATGTGATACACACTTTCTACTTTCATTTTTATCAAATATAAAAAATTGAAATCTTGCATTGTGCGGAACATACCTTGATACATGTAGTGTACTAAAATACTGGTTTGCTCACACTGACTTGATGAGATCAACATCTTCCATCTTCAGGTAACTGGATAGTACTTTCCATTGGAATACATGACTGGACCATTGGAATATATGACTGGACCATTGGAACACATGACTGGGCCATTGAAATATATGGTTACACCATTGGAATACATTATTTGTCAATCAGAATATACAACATTCATTCGAATAGAGAACTGGACTATTGAAATACAAAACTGGGCCATCGGAATACCTGGTTTATTAATCACAACACCACGAGTTGTTCATTGGAATTCACGACTTCTTGTTAGAATTCACAACCATTAATCAATAGGTATAGCTCTGGTCATTTGTCCACACACATTTATTTAACGCTTTCACACTTCAATGTCTTTATAAATAGTTTTTTTTATGCAATGTTATTATTTATTATATTTCTTTTGTATTAAAGTATTTATTTCAAAATTCACAATAATATCGTAATATATCACAGATGGAAGGATGGTCATTGTGGAACCTTTTATTAGACCTGAAAATACAAATAAAAGTATTATTTATATACTATACACTTAGAGAAATATTCATCAATCAAGTCTAAATTTGTCTACGATATCATATGATAAGATCTAAAGATAATGTTTCTACTTATTGTACGAAAGTTTCACATTTTGGAATGTACAGTGAGACACAGAATCATCTGGGATAGAAAGACTAAGCATAATCTGCATTATTTACAACAATAAATCAGTTATACGGTACTTCCCGTAATAAACAGATGCTACTTGGGAGTGAATAAATCATGCTACCCATCCATGGAAATTGCAATTATTTTAGCTTGGTTAGTATTGTTATTTGAAAACACAACCCCTCTGCCCCTTATAAGCACAAAAGGTATGCTCGCCTTTTAAAGGCATTTATATACGTACCTTAACAGTATGTAGATCTAAATCACTGTCACCATGGCCACTATCGCTAGCAGTATGATCTGCCGAAACGTCACTCCATACATCTATGTCGTTCATTTTCTACAAAAAAAAAATCCAACAAATCAATATATGTGTTTAAATTGATTTCTTATTTAAATGTTAACCTGTAATTGATCTACCTTAATTAAAACAATCATTACAAATTGGTAGGTCGAAAGCATGCTCTCCATCGGCCGTGGATATTGATCGCCAAAGAATGTTTCTTCAGGAAAAGCTCATGGAATGAAATGTATAGAGTTTTTGATCAAACGCTCTTCTTTGAATAATTAATTTAGACATAGTTATACACGTAACGAAGTAATGATTAATTCATTACCATGAAATTCTAGAAACAAGCTCGTTATCTGAATAACAGGCGTTATACATATCAAGATGCGTTATTGGTCTATTGCCTTTATTAAACACACTGCTATTGATGTTTTCTAAAATCCAACAATTTATTTGTAGTATACATTTTGATTTGGTGGTGTATTTATGTTTGTTCTTTTTTTACTTATAACTGTTGAGTACTATTTGTATTACGCTTATAGCTTTATATTCAAAATACCGCGGCTAGGGTCGCTTTATTGCAAGTTAATCAAACAAGGCATTAAGTTAAACCGGATACTACATGTAAGTCAAACCGCAACATTGGAGACGAACCCCATAACTTTACACTATCTATCCCCAGATGTTCCAATCAGACATGTGTTAAATTGGCGTTCTTACCTCCTCTCTGTCACCTAGTTTTAATATTCTGACTAAAGCTTGATGGTTCTGTAAAGCTGCTATATTACTGATCTCATCGGCGAATGACACGTGTTGTTGATGTTCGTCGTTAAACGCCTACAAATAAATATAATCGATAAATGTATATCATATTTATATATTATGATTAATATTTTAAAGCGGCTGTTACCCGAGACTTGAATCTCTTTTTCGGGGTAACATAAATATGCTCAAAACGTGTTTATTTCTTAAAATTTGCAGTCCGGATTCACAAATCGATTTAACACAATTTGAATAATTCAAAGAAGTTCAATTGTTACTCTTGAAACAATTATAGCTTAATATTTATCCTAAATTACACTTAAAATACTCAGTAATCATGGTACTGCTTTCAGTGATAACGAATATCTAAGATAACTATTCATTAGAGCACAATGATATCACAATCTATTATTATAATATAAACGGATGTATATTTATATATACAAGCTAATTATATTTACTGTTTTATTGATAAAAATCTCATTTTGTTGGCCAAACTTATTAAATATCATCATATATAATATAGGTCAGAATAGATTTTTGTGTTGTAGTTCTTAAAAAAACTATTAAAAAAAATCGATACCAATTTATACACGCTATGAAAATCAAGCACAGTGGATCCGAACAAACAGTCGAAACATAATATTCAACGTAGATGCAACATTCATATAAAAGCCCCCTCCCCTCCACTCTTCTTTACCGTCTGATTGCCCAATAACAAAAGATTTACTAACTTAGTTAACAATTAAAGCATGTTCACTCACCAAAAACAGTTAATCATATATTCTAACTAAGAGATTATTGGATTTTTATCTAACCTGTAGTTCATATCGGATTTTTTCAGTCGAACATACGTGTTCTTTTTATCTTAACATGGAATTAACTAATTAATAATTTACGGTCACGAGTAATCATAAATACCAAGGTGATCAAATTTAATAATCGTTAGAAACTGCTGTATACTCTATAAAACATAACTTGAACTAAATATGGGTGGCATTTAATAATTGGTCATACCATATAAAACACAAATATAGTTATTACTACATAGTGATTAATAACCACAACGTAATCAGTGTTAGAACGATGCTCCTATTAAATTCAGTATTGTATTTCAAAGAGGTTTTGTGTTTTATCCAATTACAACTACTATAGTTATAACAAAGGATATGAAAATTAAATATTTTCTGTCTCTTTCGAGAGATTACTATCTGATGTAGGACTAACAAACCCGGATGTTAAATTCCACAGTTATGTTTGATTAAATTGACATGTACCTCAAAGATACCATATCAGAATTACGATTAAAACCACTAATTACCTTATTAGTATGGCCCCTAGATGTCTCTTTGTTGGTATTTCTAGGCCTATTTTTATTAACTTGAGCATATAAACTTTCTATATTTTCATTTTCAGTGACAAATTTGACTGATTTTTTCGTCGTTTTATCTTCTGGGAAGTTATTTGACACTGGCACAACAGTATTAACAACTTTTGGTTTTTCGTACCAGTCTTCTTGTGTCTCTGGTTTGGATTCTAGATATTGTTTCTTTTTATTGTCTATCCGACGAATTAAACACACAGTTACTATTACTGCAATGGCTAACACTAAGGTGACACAAATGAGCACAACAACAATGGCCACATTAGTGCTGTGGTTGTTACCTCCGACGACAGGCAAAGCATCTCCGCGAACCACTTGGATTTCCATAGATGCTTGAGTCGACAGTTGAACTTGACCATTGTCATGGACCTCGATACTGATGATATATGTCTGAATGTCTTTTGCATCCATATCTCGACTTAGGGTTATGGTTCCTGATTCCACATTAATTGTAAAGAGATTGGTGTCATTGACAACGTTAATGGAATATGATAAACGTCTATTATCACCACTGTCAATGTCATACGCTTGAATTTGAGCAATTTCAGCACCAAGTCTCATAGTATGTGGTACATTTATTGAATTATTGTTCTCGGCAGGAAAATATATAACTGGAGTATTATCATTAATATCCATTATTATTATGGTAAGAATGGCTGTTGAATTAAGAGAGGGTGTTCCGCGATCTTTGGCATAAATCTTAAAAGAATATTGTGGCTGTTTTTCGAAATCGACTTCAGCGGTGCTTACAACGGTGCCGTTAGTTAATACAGTAAATGGAACGTTATGATCAACAGAGGAATAATCCAAGGCGTATGTTACATCAGCGTTCATTCCGATATCGGCATCGTTAGCCGTAAGAAAACCGATGTAAGATCCGATTCGAGTGTCTTCAGCCACATGGAAGACGTAACTTTTGGCAGATAATTCAGGAGCGTGGTCATTAACATCGTCGATGTTAATTTTAACGATAGTTGTTCCCGACAATGGAATCTTTCCTTTATCGACAGCTTTCACTTGGATCACAAATTTAGGTATTGATTCTCGATCGATACTTGTTATGGCCTTTATTTCCCCGGATGTAGAATTAATTGCGAAGTAATCTGTCCCATTGATTAGCTGATAGGTCATTTGTGCGTTTTCATTAGTGTCGTTATCATAAGCCCGAACCGTTCCAACAAACTGGTTGATTTTGTTGTTTTCTTTGAAGTTAAAGAAATAGGTTTCCTGTGGGAATTGAGGGGCATTGTCATTCTCATCAAGGATTCGAACTTGAAAGTCTGATCTAGTGGTCAGTGGCGGAGAGCCCGAATCTGTACATGTTACAGTAACATTATGGACGGGTGTCTCTTCGCGATTGAACGGCCTTGCTACGATCACTTTATATTCCAGTACGTTCATTTCTTGAATACTGAAATAACTGTTTCGTATGGTGCAATCCACAAGTCCGTTATTACCGGAGTCTGTTTCTTTGACTGTAACCAACGCCACGACACGACCTATGATGGAAGATTCTGGTACAGTAGAAGAACCTCCTTGACTAAACAACAATTGGACTTTAATTTCTGGTGGATCGTTATTAGTATCAATTATTTTAATAACGACTTCAGATTCACTTGTGAGACGTGGGCTCCCGTTATCCTTAGCGATGACTTGAAAAATGAAAGTAGAGCCACCGGCACCATCTAAGGAACTCTTCGTGCTGATGACACCGGTCTCGGGATTGAGCTTAAAATAGGTAGCCACAGGGGTTGGAACGGAAGAAGCAAAATGATATGTTATCTTGCTGTTGTCCCCTTTATCCAAATCAGAAGCTTCAAGTTTTAATATACTAGAATCTAGTCCAACGGTCTCGGTTAAAGTGGCGTCGAAAGTGAATCGTTGAAACACTGGCTTATTGTCGTTTTCATCTGTTACTAGGACAACGACAGTGAGGTTGGTGCTTTGGACAGGGTCACCACCGTCATAGGCGGTCACTGCTAATTTATACTGTTCTTTTTGCTCTCTGTCCAACTCAGACTTAAGCTGTATACTTAAAGCTGTCACTGTTGATCCGGATCGTGTCTCCAAAAGTTCAAAAACGCCCCCATCTTCCTGACTAAGTTCATACCTGCGTATGCGATTAATTGGGGTTGCATCCGCGTCCGATGCAATGGGAACGCGAATCGTTGATCCCACGGCAGCCGTTTCCGAAATTTCAATTTGCAACATGGATTGTGGAAATTGTGGAGGATTGTCATTAGCGTCATCGATATAAAGAAGCACCTTGATTTTACGGAAGACGGTACTGAGAAACGATTGAGCAGCTACGTCCAAATCAATAACGCACGTAACAGCTTGACCACATAATCCTTCCCTGTCCACTTTCGTTGACGTGAACAGATTACCACTGTCTTCATCTAAGCTGAACAAACCAACTATGTTAGCATCTGTAGTCACCATTGTATAACGCAAGGCCGGGATTTCATCTTTGCCAACCACATCGGAGAGATTAGCTGATGACGCAATGTTGCCCAAGAGCCTTGGTGATTCATCTTCGCTAATGGTGTATGTAATAGTCTGTCCGTGCGACACTGACAGTAATAATACCATTAGATAAATAACTATTAAATCCATTGTCATCTTTACGTCTTCTATATACCCTGTTTTACTGTTTCAGTCATTTGGCTACCTAAAAATATAAAGACATAAAAAATTAGCTATGAATTTCAAAAATGTTACTTTTTATAAACGAAACATCTGATTCATTTTGCAGATAATACATACGAAGAAAGAAATAAACAGTCCATCAAATGCATTTAGCTAGTGTGGAAGCAGACGCTAAACGATCAGTACACTACTACTAAATGTTGGAATAACTTGTGAAAAAGGGTGGATTTAAATCAGTTTTTAAACTGGAATTCACGCATACAGAGTATCGTTAACCTTGTTGCCTTTCAAATGTAACACTCACGAAAGACATGTAGGTCTAAGTCCCCACACTTTCTCTGTGACACTGAACCTACGGAAGAATGATTCCCATATAAATCGAAGTAAAACCATTAAAACATGAACAATAATTGTACATTTATTCTTTACAATGAATCACTTGAACGGAAAATAATGAACTGTTAGTAGACAGTCCGTCAGTCACGTTCAAGTGAAATTTAAATTATATCCATTATTACTTAACCTCGTGATCCGAGCATTTTGACACTCCAATACAAGACCACCTAAGGACTTGACTTAGTCAATATTTCCATAATTCATACATTATTCACGGAATGAAAAGACGGCAATAAGATCACTCACTCTGATAAAAACGTCCTCGATAATCAAATGGCTTGTTCTCACATACATCAAAATATCGCTGTTTACTGAGCACTTACATATCTCCGATACGAACGACTAACTAGTCACAACTGAACGGCGACATCGTCAATAATGGCCTATACCTGACTCGATCTAAGCCACGCCTCCCTTCACACTTACTGGTCAATTCGTGCTGTCCAACAATACCTGGATAAAATAGCTACCATATCTTAGTACAGACGGCGCACATCTTAGGTCAAAAGTAAAGAAAAGTTATTGGAAGAATCAAGCGAAATATTTACAACTCGGTTTGTTATGACAATTAGAGAACTTCTTTGATTCAACATCACGTACAGCCACCACATCATGTCTAGCACAGAACAAAGCTTCTACCTTTTTATCATTCCTTTTAAAGGAATTGAACTTTCAAATAGGCTCCTTTTAACACGCCAGTGTCTTGCAGAATATGTTAAATATTTGGGTACATCATATTAAATGAATAGGTTTTATATGCTTCACACCCTTCGGCGAAACACACTTTAATATTTTAAATAAAGACGTTTGTGTATTTGTATGCGTCACGCAACAAAATTATGGATATTTAATATTTTAGCATAGTGATTATTAATAATTTTATTTTTATTTTTTGTGGTTTCTGACAATTGTGATTACATTAAACAATGGCTATTCAGATATATTTACAAATAGCAATTAATTTAATTCCGTGGTTGTCATCATTAAATTAATATTAAGGACATTATTACAAAGTGAACCAAGATCAAACTCAACTGAACATAAAACAATCTTGTCGATTTAGGCTGTTTCTTTTTAATCATAACGATTAAAGGAAGTTCCATAATATGTCCTTTAAATACACATTTAGCATTTTAGCTTAGTTTTAAAAGTGGCGCAAAAATCGAGAATTCAACGTGGCACAAAAATCAATCCCTTACCCCCCACCCCCCATCCGACCCCCAGCTGCCATTCTTGCGAACTTCTTTCTTCTTTTTAGACTTTCCTGTCAATATCCTAATCCGAAATCTTTGTTTTGCCCCACCCAATCTGTTATATATGTCTATATAGCCCGGCGAAAGCAAAAATTATGAAAGTTAATTCTTAAATTTGAATAACAGACTAATACCACCATATTCGTTCAGACCAGATGGATCGCATTTAACTTGTCATCTTATTCAATATTTACTCATTAAACTTAGCCACCTCTAAATAGCTGTTTTATATATACAAAAAAAACATCTGCTTGTCTATCTATTACGATTCTGAATGTTAAATTTTTTTTGTGTTTAAAAGTCAACAATGTTTAACATTAACTAAACATGTTAGATTGGGGATGTTCCTTGTACTAACAATCAACCAAATTGAAAATAATTTGAAGTGCAAAACAAGATTTTTTTTTTAAAATAAAGAATAAATTGAAGAATTTTCTAAATTATACTGATCTCAGCAACACAGTTCGTGTAAATAAAAGAAATAATGAATAATTTAAGTTATTTTAAATATTGAACTATGAAGAATGCCGGATTGAATGTAAATCAGATTAAATGTGTATCTTCGATTAGCATCTTTTCGTCCATGTCGCTAAAGGTTCCGTTTATTTTCAATGTGTTCAAATATTTGATTAATACAGAGCAATATACCTTTTCTAGGCAATTACCCAAGGGAGATCCAAGTTAATATCCCTGTGTCTAACCTATAGCATTCAAATATATCTCATTGATAAATTATCAGCAGCCAAACATATCAAATTTATAGAAATTAAGCTATTCTATTAAACTGTGATTCAAAGATTATAAGGGTTAAATACGATTATGAGTAGTTGGTCGGCAAAATAGTAACTTATACGTCCCAATGAATAACTATAAATGAGGTGTGATAATAAATATATTTTTCTCGGGTCTTTTGGTGTTACATTCAAAGCTTTGAATACGTTTATGTGGTGTTAAATAAGTTTAGTTTCTCTGCTTGATTTAAGATATAGAAATGAACTTAAGCCAGTCTTTGGTTTATCATCTATTTTTTCATCCTTTAATATACACGATAGCTTATAGTAACTCCATTTATTGAGAGATTGTTTATGAATACATTTATTCAGCGGTTAATGTTTTTGTTGATGTGCGTGAGTTCATTTGGGGTTTTATTCAGCTGCTCAGCTGCAGTGTTTATAATATGTTTAATTTGGGACATTCGTTACATACTGATATTGAATGAAATTATATAGCCTTAATAGATTTATTCATCATGCTTCATTTACCATGTGTATATGTTATACAGAGAGGTGGCTTGGTAAGGGAGCCTTGCTTAACCCCTGTACTTTGATGCGATACAATGTAATACATTCATATTAAGTTTAAGGATATCTGCTTCGTTCCAGATGTAGAAATAGATAATAAATTGACAAGTTAAGAATTCCAAGTGTTCGGTTTATCAAACCCTTCATATTTTATCACTTATATCAAATATAGTCGGGTTAATCCAGGGATTAATTCTCTAACGTACATTTATTGATAACATCAAAGCAATACAGTAATCCCAGATACGCTGAACTGTTAAAACTATTTTGATAATAAAACCTAAAAGGTATACCAAACCCCTTGAAGTAACATTTCCCTCATATACATTTAACAAAAATAAGGACCTCGATTTTCATCGGTATGTATTATTTACACGGGTATACCCTTTAAAGATGTTTAGATACTGTCTATGTATTTGTCCGACATGTCAGCTTCCTAGTGCCAACTCCTTTCACTGGATCAATATCTAAAGAGACATATGTTCTCTCAAAATTGTAAACGATTACTTCTAATAACAGTCTTTAAAATCTGATCCGATTAAACCTGTGGACATATGTTCTGGTTATAGCATTATAAGAAAATTGGGTAAAGCAATTACTATGACAAGACTGTCTCGTCGCTGTCAAGACGGGTAATCATTAGCAATATGTTTTTTCCCTTAAATCTAAATGTAGATATGGCTATATTACAGTCTAGTCGGTTACATGTCCATTAATATAAAAATCCCCTTCATGTCCATTAATAAAACAAACCTAGAAAATGTAACATAGAAAATGTATCTATATTTTAAATTTTAAGTTAGGAAAATATGTTTTAATTCAATTTCAGGTTTTCCCAAGCTCGTGTTCAAAATGTTACAATGTCACTGATCTAAAAGTCAGTGCCCTGCGATTTTAACGAGAACCTATTTATGACATGATATAATGTCGGCAAAACATTAAGACATCCCATTCAAGATAATACCAAGAGTAAATATTATCATTAAGAATGAAAACACACACATTGCATCTTAATAAGAGGAATAAAGACTCAAGAATCCTGAATTTTCACATGAACTAGAGATTACGTGTTGTAAATACCTCCCGTAATATTGTTTCTCCCTACCGCCCCTATTTCTTTTATCTCAGTCGGTGCCACCACTGTTTCTTTGCCAGAACGACAATCGTTACGTCTTGATGAAAGGTAATCAGAGGAACAGGGGTCTTAATCTTATTACCAAAAGCCACGTCTTTATTCAATCCATTATATCAGTGATTCAACTACTAGTTTGTATTTAGCACGAAGAAAAACAATAGCGAGGTACCTAAGGATCCTAACAAGTTGTCGCATTGTTCCGCGATAAATTGTGGTGGTCCTCGAACAATACGGTGTTAATCTCTGTCTCTCTGAAGTAGATTCCCGACTGTTGCACGATAAATGTGAGGGATACTCTTGACCTAACATCTTCAAAATATTGGTGTCTTATCTTAAAACACTATTAACTGGAAGGAATTTCATTGAATTGTAGAAATCTTGCGGATGTCACCCTCAAATGTTTATGCGTGGATCTTAGTGTCAAACTGACCGTTTAAATAAAATGCCATTTTTGTTTTCTTTATTCCTTTGTTTGCATGTTCCATTTAGAAAAACACCTTTCACTCTTTTACTCAAAACTATTCAACTTTTGAAGGGAAAGTGGAAGCAACGATTATAATTATGTAGGTTCACATACCTTTTCATTACCATCTACATCATCAGATCATCGTGTCACTAACCTTATTACCTGTCGTATAATGCACATACATGTATCTAAATCAAGATATATCCGACACAACCCTTTGATTAATTAAAACATTGAATTATGACTACAATTTTAAACAATATATTTGTACTTTTGTTAATAATTTCTTACGTGAGATGGTGTTATACAAGGGGGTTGTTTACAGCTTCATAATTCAATGATGCGTTATGTAAATAATTATTCAATAAATATTGCCAGGAAATACAATATATATCGAACATATTATTTTTTGCAAAGGAACATCCTCTTAAATTCCTCGTCTTTTTTTCCAGCATTCGCAACCTTAACAAA